AATAATAATAATAATAAATCATGATATTATTATCAATATTAGTTTTCTATCCTGCCCTTCCTCTCAGAGCAGCCCAGAGCTAAAAACACAAAACAATATAACTAAAGGGAAAGCAACAGGTTATGTGAAACTTTCAAAAACAGTTAAAGACACCTGAAATCATTGAGAACATCTAAAGCACACAAAACAGTCATGTATTCTTGCAGCTGATAATTTCTAGATGATGGAGAGCAGCATCTTTCAGTCATTCGATGCCGGGGTGTAACATTTTTAAATTCCTCCTGAAGGCGAGTAAAGAGGGGGCCACACACACCTCATTGGGGAAGGCAATCCTCAAAAGGAAGCCACCACTGAGAAGTCCCACTTGTGGGTCAGCACCCAGAGTCAATCTGCTAGTTGTAGGGCCTGAGATGGTTGATACTTGGGGAGGCACTCTTTAAGTTCTTGGGTCTCAAGCTGTTAAGTTCTTGGGTCCGCAAGTGATAACACCTTGAATTGGACCTGGTCGCTCACTGGCTAGCAGTACAGAGCTTTCAGGACTGGTAGCACGTGGGAACTTGAGAGAAGATACTCAGACACTCATCCAATACTCAGTGTGCTGCATTCAAGCACAGTGGGTTAACTGTGCACTGTCCCCTCAAACACAGCTGAGCCTTCCCTTTCCCAATCCCCAGATATGTGCATATTGGATCACTTCCAAGGGTCCATAGAGGAAGCCTTGTCTGAGAACCCCCAAAATCCTGTTGCTGGGTTTATCTTTTAAAGCAGGGATGGGAAGCCCAGCTATTGCTAGGCTCACCTCTGCCCCAGTCAACATGGCCAGTGGTCATGTGCAGTTCATAAGGCAGAAACAGTGACAAGCTTAAAAGTCCCGCCTACTTAAGCAGGCATTCCCGGCTCATGAAATCCATCACGTTCTGTTTTATTATTTATTGATATTTAACTGTATGTTTTATTGATGACTCCTCTGTTTGTACTGACGTATTTTGTTGTTGTTGTTTGGTTTTAAATGTTGTATGTACACTTTTCTTTTTCAAATTATCTTCCTGTGCTTTATGTAAACTGGTTAGGGATTTTGCATATTAAATGGTATATGAATATGATGATACTGATACTGAATGAGGAAGCCTGTCAAGGTGTCGGCCAAGATAGTTATATGGAGCCTCCATTTCCAGGACCACTATACCTCTGAATGTCAAAAACTGGGAGCATGATAGGGTAAGTCTGAAAGCTGCTCTGTGCTGAGTTCATCAAGTTACGTATTGTCTGTATACAGACTGGATGCAGCTCTCTAGGCTTCAGAGTTCAGGCAGGAAGTAGCCTTTTTTCTGAGCCCTTCAGCAATGGCTGAAGGGCTGCTGAGTCTGTGTCCTGCTTGTTTGATGCTTCCTGGAGGCATCTGCCAGCCATGGCTGGGAAAGAGACTGCTGGAGAAGATGGACTGTTGGTCTGATCCAGCAGGGGCTCTTCTCCTGTGACATCTGTCTCCCAAAATCCGTCTCGCAGTTCTTCATTGGTGTTGACCTTCTTGTGACATTAAAAGTGATGTCCTTCAGAGGCTCCCAGCTAATAGGCTCACTCAAGTCAAACTTGTTTAGACGCAATCTTTTAAATAAAGAAATAAAGTCTGTAAGAAAGAAGAAGAAAAAAACCCAAATGCCAAGGAAGACACGCTGAGCCACAATTCTGGAACGAAACACTCAGATTACTGCGGCATTTTCAAGGAGAATCAAAGCATATGGTGGCATAATGGAGCATGAATTTACAGCAGCAAAGATGTACGCTACAGATTAAAGCTTCATCTGGGAGGACAGAACTGCTGTGCAGCAGAAAACTCCCAGCTCTTGCCTTTGCTCCAGCCTGTACCAGACAGCAAAATAATGATTTTGGTAGAGCGAGGGCTCCCTCTGCTGGCGATAAGATTGTGCTCTTGTTTATCCACCCCTCCCCAACCTTTTAAGAACACAAAAAGAGCCCTGAAGTTAGATCAGGCCAAAAAGGGCCCATCCAGTCCAGCATCCAGTTCTCACAGTGGCCAACCAGATGCCTGCGGGAAACATGGAAGCAGGATCCAAGAACAAGAGCACTTCCCCCTCCTGTGGCTTCCAGCAACTCATATTCAGAAGCATTTAATGCCACCCTCATGACTAATGACTACTGACCAGTAACCATCTCTTAACCTAACCTGCCCATCTAATGCAACATCCAGGTCTGCAAACAGGACCAGAGCACAACAGCCACTCTCCCCTCCAGGGGTTTCCACCAACTGGTGTTCAGATGCATGCTGACTCTGACAGTGGAGGCTGCTGTTTAGTCTTTTAGTCGTGTCCGACTCTTCGTAACCCCATGGCACGCCAGGCACTGCAGTCTCCCACTGCCTCCCGCAGTTTGGTCAAACTCATGCTGGTAGCTTCGAAGACACTATCCAACCATCTCGTCCTCTGTCGTCCCCTTCTCCCAGTGCCCTCAATCTTTCCCAGCATCAGGGTCTTTTCCAAGGAGTCTTCTCTTCTCATGAGGTGGCCAAAGTGCTGGAGCCTCAGCTTCAGGATCTGTCCTTCCAGTGAGCACTCAGGGCTGATTTCCTTAAGAATGGGTGCGTTTGATCTTCTTGCAGTCCATGGGATTCTCAAGAGTCTCCTCCAGCACCATGGAGAGCTCCAAGTGACTGACTCGCTTTAGCAAAGGCTGAGGGTGAAGTGGGGCCTTAGGAGAGTCTTTCTGCAGCTTACTTTTCCCAAGTTCTGCCACCTTGGCCTAAAGCACAGGTGGGGGAGCTGTGGCCCTCCAGGTGTTGCAGGACCCCAGTTGCCGACAGCTCCAGCCAGCATGACCAGTGGTCTATATTCACACAGAGCTGCATCTTGTCCGCTCTGCAGTTTCAGAACATAAGAAGAGCCAGCTGGATCAGGCCAGAAGGGGCCCATCTCCTCCAGCATCATAATTCAAAAGCATCAATTCTTCAGCATCCCTTATTTCTGGTCCAGCTCTCACTTCCATACATCACTTCTAGGAAAACCATAGCTTTTACTATACGGACCTCTGTTGGCAAGGTGATGTCTCTGCTTTTTAAGATGCTGTCTAGGTTTGTCATTGCTTTTCTCCCAAGAAGCAGGCGTCTTTTAGAACATAGCCATTGTGGATCCTAGCCATAGAAAGCCTAATCCAGTGTTTCCCAAACGTGGGTATTCATCAGTCTTTGGACTACAGTTGCCATCATCCCTTACCACTAGTCCTGCTAGCTAGGGATGATGGGAGTTTTAGTCCAAAAAAACAGCAGGAGATCCAAGTATGGGAAACGCTGAATCCTTAGCGGCAATGAATGAACATAAGAAAAAACCTGAAGCTGCATTTGGCTGAAGGGAGCTCAACTAGTCCAGCATCCTCTCCTCCTAGTGGCCAATCAGACGGCCACTATGGAAAGCCCATAAGCAGGACTCGAGCGCAAGAGCACTCTTCCCCTCTTTCTGGATCCCCGACAACTGACATCCAAAGGCAAAAGGCCTCCAACATGAAATGTGCTTGTCCTATCAGTCTTAAGGGCTTAACTACACAAGGGGTCTGTGCACTTTCACAGCTCCAAAAAAAGAGGAAGTTCATCAATAAAAAGGAGAGCTAATAATAGGACACAAATCTGTATAAAACTTACATACATTTATACATTTTCTCTACATCCCCCCGCTGTTGCAACTCAAGCTCTTGGCATTTCCCTCCTTCCTTCACTGGAGGTTTTTAAGCAAGAGGTTGTATGCCCATCTGCCAGGGATTATTGATCTGGTGGTTCCTGCAGGGGTTTAGACTAAATGATCCTTAGGGGTCCCATCTAACTCTTCGATTCTATGATTTTACGACATGTATATTTGCAGTTTGCATTTTTTTGTACAGAAAGTATTGATCTGATATGTAGAGGTCTTCCCTATTCTAATTAATTCAAGAGGGTTCTGGAAGTTTCTGTGTGAAAAGGAACAAGCAGAAGGTTCATGATGTTTGGGTTATACCTTCAGAGAAGCTGAGTACAGCTGGCTTAAACTGGTTCTCTTATCTCTTTCTGTCAAGGTCATGCGGATGATAATAATAGGCCAGGAGGAGCCTGGGTTTCACTTTTCTCTTTCTGTCTTTCTCTCCTTTTGGTGTGGTGTTCAATACATAGTATGCTTAGTTGTTAAGGTTTAGTCTTATTATAAGATATTGTAAGTTAAAGTCAAGTCTGCTGCACCTGGATTTCTTATGGACAGTGCCAATCCTGAATGTATTGGATTTGTGACCATTCTTCTCCTTCTTTGGCGATCGCTCGTAGCCTTCAGTAGCAGTAAAGCTCTGCTGGATGAAATACAGTGGTACCGCGGGTTAAGAACTTAATTCGTTCCAGAGGTCTGTTCTTAACCTGAAACTGCTCTTAACCTGAGACACCATTTTAGCTAATAGGGCCTCCCGCTGCCGCCGCGCAGCCGGAGCACGATTTCTGTTCTCATCCTGAAGCAAAGTTCTTAACCCAAGGTACTATTTCTGGGTTAGCGGACTCTGTAACCTGAAGTGTATGTAACCTGAAGCGTCTGTAACCCGAGGTACCACAGACCTATGGTCTGTTTTGGGAGAATCTTGCAACGTGTTTAAGTTTTTACTCTGCTAACTATATGTCGGAGTTCTGCTCTGGATCAATAGTGAGCAGAATTTCATGACAGTATTGGCAGAGCTACATCTTATTGGACTCAGTGGGCGCTTACGGTAACGTCTGAGTAGGCTCTGTAAGCAAGCAGGCTTACACCAACTTTCTCTCTCTCTCTTAAGCTCAGCTGGTAGAGCGCGAGACCCTTACTCTCAGGGTCGTGGGCGAAAGATTCCTCGTGAAAACCCTCGTGGTCTGATTCTATTGATGGGCTCTTCCTTTGGTCTGTTCGGCGCTCGGCTTCCGCTGCCTGTACTAGAATTCCTCCTCTCGGTGCGTGATTGCGTTGGCCTCGCCTGCTCTTGCGCCGGCGCACTGACGCGAACGGGAGAGATTGAAGAGAGAAGCGGCCCCGCCCACGTCGCGCGTCACCGACGTCTCGTCGTCTCTAGCCATGGCGGACGAGGAGCTGGAGGCGCTGCGCAAGCAGAGGATGGCCGAGCTGCAAGCCAAGCACGGGGTGAGCGGAGCGGAGGGCGCCGGGCCTGGACCGTCCCCTCACACGCGGGCGGACGTCGGCTTCGGCGCTTCGCCCAGTCTCCTGGCCCACAGGCGAGGCCCCTATGGCTGGCCGGCCAGGGGAAGGGCGGGCCTGGGCCTTCGGTTTTAATTGCATGGCGCTAGTCCTCACTGCGGGCTCAGGGCCACCTCAGGCGTGGGAGGCAAGGCGGGAGGGGCGCAGAGACCACCCTGGGAGAAGTCAGAGGAAGAGACCCGTGTTTTGTGTATTACGCACGTCTGTATACACACACACGTGTTGGGATTATTTCCAGTGCTACATACCTACTCACTCAGGAAACCCATTGAGTTCAATGGGGCTTGACGCCCACGAAAGTGTATATAGAGGGGTGGCAGCATATCTCTTTATTTTCAGGGTTTCCACTTCTTTTTTTCAGCAAAAAAACCCCCAAAGCAGCTTACATCCAATATTAACACAGACATCTCCCTTTTAAAAAAATGAATGAAGTTAACCAGTTGAAAGAGAGAAAACAAAGAATGATGGTGCTGTCTGGTTTGGTTTTTTTTGTGCATGATTGTTGTCAACCCCAAGTCCCCCCCCCCCCCGAAAAAACATCTTTATCCGTGTAACCACCATGGGAGAGGTAGGTTAGGCCCAAGGTGGCCCAGCTAGTGTCATAGCTGAGGGGGGATTTGAACCTGTGTCTCCATGGTTGTATTCTGACATTGGTTATGCCACACTGGCTCTGAGTGGGAGGGAGCAGGGGTTCTGTGATTCGGCCACTGTCTGGAAATAGGGCGCAGTGATTGTCACTCCCAGCACCAAATGCAGCTCTTGGAAGGTTCTTAAATGACTTTGCTCCACTGCCCCACACCCAGTTGCCAACCTGGAGAAGGGGCTTGGGTAGAAAGCACTTGTCAGTCATCCACCAAGGTGGGCCTGTCAAATCTAGTCATTGACTAGGAATCTAGAGCCAGCCTTTGCAAAAACATTACTGGTACACAACATCTTTTTTGCCAGCTCAGCTGTTCTTATATGCCCATTTGTGGCATCAAAGGAAAAAAAGAAACTTCTTTGAAGTTTTATTGCCTGGTGACCCACAGGCAATTCTTACCACAGTTTGCAGGCATGTATTAAGTAACTTGTCCATCTGTGGGGCTGAAGAATAGCTACTTTCCCATCTTGATTGGTAGATTCTATATTACCTGAAGGTTGCGTACTTCAACACCCTCAAAAGTTGACTCTCATCATTTAGGATCTAGTGCCTTCTCCCTACCTGGGAGCAGTAATAGTTGTGCATTTATGAGTCTTTCTGTATGAGAACAGTCCTGGCCTTATATGTGTACTTTACCGTTAGTTAGTTAGTTAGTTAGTTAGTTAGTTAGTACTTCCTCAGTAGTGCTATGCTTTACTACTAAACTGGTTCTTATTTCTAACATTTCAGGATCCTTCCAGTGACATCGCACAGCAAGAAGCAAAACAGAGGTAACAGAGGGGATGAAAACAAAAGCCACCTTTTCAGTAGACTGATAACCCTTTATTACGTCGTGTATAGTAGCGGGGAGAAGGCACCCCTTCACATCTTAGGGGGTTTTTTTTGCTAGTATGATTGTATCCCGTAATCAGTATTACCGCATGACTGGAAGCATGTTGTGAGATACATCTACTGGGAGTCATCCAGATTCATGTCTCTGCAGGTGTGATGGTGGGATAAAATTAACTTTTAATATAATAATAAAAATAAATTTATAGGAAAAATGAAGGTGAAACAAATAAACAGCAACAGAGGTATGGGCTGCCATGTTTGCATTTATTATTAAATTAAGTGTGATATAGAGACAGAAACAGAAGAGACACAGAACATTGGGACCAGTAGAGTTTTCCCCCTTTTTGTCATTCTCCTTAAATAAGGTTCCTATCCTTTTTGTCTTTATTAGATCTTTACAATGCACATACTCTTCTAAATGGGTGTGTAATCTTCCTGCATCAAGAGCCCACTGTTAAACAAGTGAGAGTTTAACCTTTGTAGGGGTTTGGTACTGAGCCATGAATAACTTGTGATCTGCCTCTGAACTGAATGTGCTTCAAGTTTCCATAGTTGGATTTGAATGTGTTTCAAGTTTCCATAGTTGGATTCTCTTTCCCAGATAATAATAAATGAATTTGTGCTCAAATTCCACAGTAAATTCCATAAGGATAGTAGTTTATATGATTTAAATATAATGGAGTACTAGCAATGTCTAAATATGAAACTTCCGGTTGTACAAAATGGTCAGTGTGTTTTACTTTCTTGCAATGCACTGCACATGTTCTGAAGCTGTAATTTATCTGCATAATTTTTATATTACAGGGAATCAGAAATGAGGAATAACATTTTGGCTCAGCTTTTGGATCAGGCAGCTCGTGCCAGATGTAAGCATCCATGACGTATTCTGACCAACTTCTAAAACCTTTCTCTGAGTCCATCTTACTTAGATTGCACATACTTAACTTTACTAAAGGAAAATAATACAGTGTTTTGGGTCCAGTGCTAGGCACACTAATGTGGAGAGTAGGTTTCAATTCTCACTACGTTCGCTTTTTGTGTTCAAAGGAGGATGCAGAGGAGACGCCACTGGATACTACTTTCTGAACTTATTGTTGATATATAGTTAATTATTCTAGAATGGTCATTAGTGAGGACTGCTGAGTTAAAAGCTGCTTCTGCAGAATACTGTAGTGGTATTCCTAAATGTATTGGTGGGTGCTAAGCCATGAATAACTATGGACTGGAGTTGACCTCAAGCGGATGGTTGACTGTTCCCCTTTGCACATATCTGTAGCTCTTGTCAGATGCTCCTGGACGCTGAAGCACTGCAGTCTGAAGGCATTACTCTGGACTTTTCCCCCAGTCTAAAAGTTGAGTGGAATGGAACAATCAGAAAGCAGGAGGGAAATGTAAAGATCCTAATAAGCCATGTCTGAACAAAGCAGTATACAGAGTTCCTTAAAATACAGTTTTCCTTTTTCATAAGACCAGGCATAGATCAGTAATCCATCTTAAAATAACAGTTCAAAGCCTTTTGCAGTACTATGAATAATAAGTCTTGCCTGACTTTAGTAATCTGGTGTGTTTTTTTAAAAAAATGCAAAATATCTGTTTTCCTTTTTCAGTAAGTAATTTAGCGCTTGTGAAACCAGAAAAGGCAAAAGCGGTGGAGAATTACCTCATACAGATGGGCAGGTTTGGACAGTTAGGTGGGAAGGTAAGTGGAATCTCTGTCATGACTTCTTGATGAATCAAATATAGGAAATAACTTTCATGAAATACAGATTTATAAATAAATGTTCAAAGGCAGGCAGGCTTTGTGCATCCCACAAAGCCATGGTTTCGATTTAACCAGTTTATTGAACGCACCATGAATCGCCTCACAGACTAGCAAACAAGCTGCTACTTGTTTCTCTGACATTTGGCTTGTTTTCCACCTGTTCCTGCTTTGTGTCTTTGTTGCTCGACAAATTGATGGTCAAGCAAGGGTTTGGATATCATGCTAAACCACAGTGATAACAAGCTGTGGTTAGGAAGGCTACAAACAACCAAGGCTTCACCTTGTGGTTTGTTAGTAGAAAGCAAACACTGGTTATTCTGCTGGACTGAGTTTGCTGTTGCCTGAAAACAGAATGCCAAATTAGATGGATCTCTGTCTTATTTGGCAATATAATTTTTACACATCCTGCAAAACATTGATTTATAAGCTTTGAAAAGTTGTACTATTATTGGCTAATTCTCTAGCCTATTCACACTTGTTTCCAAATCGCTTTTTTTAGTCTTTTATAAAAAGTCGATGAATCGTTTTATGTGACATGGGGGATAGCAGATTACCTGTTAATGATGCTGTTGTGGTGGTCTTTGCTGTTTGGTTTTGTCCTTCCACTGTCATGATGCTCTGGATGAAAGTGTTACCTGTGTGTAGTGTTTAAGTTGCTTGTATAGGGTGTGTCCTTCTGCCCCCAGAGGGAGGCGAGGAGGAAATGTGCCATTCCCACCAAATGAGTATCTGCTACATGAGATTGGTTTTTTTTACTTCCTAGGTAACTGAACAAGGGTTGATAGAAATACTTGAAAAAGTGAGTCAGCAAACTGACAAGAAAACAACAGTAAAGGTAGGGCATCTTAAAAACTGGAGCCTGTTTGCCAGTGGTAGAGTGGTCGCAGGATCACAGCATAGCCAGTATTTTTTGTTAAAGGTTTACTACATCTGCATGCCTCTTCCTGTATGAAGCTGATAGCTTATACAGAGCAGAAAATCTGCATATGGCTACTGCTTACAGTTTGGTGGGGTGGGAGTGGCCAGAAATGCAGCCTTGAACTCTTGGAAAGAGTAGGCAGGTGACTTCATCTCCGAGCTTAGTGCTGTAGTGCTTCACTCTAAGATGAGAGACAAAATATCCTCCAGTTTGTTCTTTTGAGAGCGCTTTAATCAGTCCATGAGATAAAGCTGCTGGTGGGAGAATGTAGCCTACAAGCTGGCTTTAATCAGTCCATGAGATAAAGCTGCCGGTGGGAGGATGTAGCCTACAAGCTGGCCCCTATCCCTTGACGTAAAGACTATACTATTGTAATAGATTTGCTTACATGCATCTTGAAAATACATCTAGCAATGCAGCAAGGCAATGAGCAAAGACTTTGGTATCGACTTTTAGGCTGGGCAGGTGCGAGATATGCAGCTGGCAAAGAACCTGGGAGCTTCCTTGCTTCATGCAGCTCTCTGCTTGCTCTTGTTCTCATAACACAAACAGGGAATTCTTCTGGCTGGAGGAAAAGCAGCTCTTGTTGAACTTAGCCTCAAAGTTATTTTCACCTACACTGTGTTTTCTCCCCTAGTTCAACAGAAGGAAAGTTTTGGATTCTGATGAGGAAGATTAATTGGTGAAAGGCAAATCATCTGGCGTATGTCAAGGAAAGTGTGCTGTGCCTGGCAGAAGCATAGATGAAAAGTTTACACTTTTTCCCCCTGTACACATTTTTTTTATATAAAGGATGATCTTGTGTTCTGTATAATAAAATTAAGTGAAATGGTTTTCTTAGACCGTTTTTATAGCAGAGGCCTGAGAAGTTGTGGTTTACTCCCTGTCACTTGGACTTCATTTTTCCTTTGGACACAGCTATGCCACTGGCACCTGTGGGCAGCATGCTCGTCGTACTTCAGTGGCAACAGGATGCATCGTAACCCAGCAGGGAATGAGGAAAGCCGCGTTGCAAGCAGCCTGCTGGTTTTGTCAAAGTTAGTAGAGTTGCATGTGCAGGCTAAATAGTTCACAGGATACAAGATTTTGATTTGAATATGTAAGATTCAATGTTTATACAGAGGCTGCTGTATAAACATGACATTCATGATCCTTTAACCACGGTTGAAGGATTTGGAACAGCCATGGAATTTCCCCATCCATGTGCAAGCTCCCCCTCCCCTTTCTCCTGAGGATGGTAACTAGAATTTGCTGTTAGGGTTTTTAAAGCTGTTTCAGCATCCTAATGGACAACAAATCCCGGTTAGCATGGTTTTGAAGCATTGCTCTTCAGTTGGCATGTTGGGGCCTGATCTAAAGTAGATTGCAACAGGAGTACCACCGCTGTACAGATAGGTTAGAAAATTAAGAAACTGGTCCCCAAATGCATGTGTTGGTCCCCAAATGTTGAAAACTACTGGTTTAAATGTTAAAGGATCATGATGTAATGTGTGAGTTACATGTCATGTCCGCTTGGGTACTGGAACACTTGCAGTTTCACTGAACCAAAGCCAGAGGGGTTGGTTGTTGATCAGAATATGGTTCCTTGATACAGTATCTTGCTGGATGATCTGTTGCATTGAAAATTAGATAAATCTTGGTTGGCACGCTATGAAGCTTGAAATAACATGTGCTTGGGAAATATTTCTCTCAAGAGATGTCTTTCCCCACCCCCTGCCATACATTTGCTAATAGCATGAGTGATTGAGAGTGATGCAACCAAAGTCAGGATCTTTAAAGCCCTTTTCATTTCAACAGAAGACTTAAGCACGTGCTTAAATCTTTCGTATTAAAAATATTTAAAGGTTTAACAGCAGCTGGATTCTCTCTTAAATATCGTTGCAACACAGAACTGTGTAGACCAGGTGGTGAACCTTTGGCTCACCAGATGTCGCCAGACTGCAGTTCCTGTCATCTCGCAGGCTAAAGGTTGGTAGCAGACAAAACATATTTGTTCTCATCCAAACTGCCTCCTTTTCTCAGGCAGTTATTGAAACAGCTGCCCAATTCCCCTGGCCATCATGGTGCCATTGTGACTTCAGGTTGTGCCTTTTTGTTGAATGCAGAATGAAATGGTTTTTGTATGTCTACTGTACCAACATCCCATGTAAGGCAGACTGTAAAAGGAGGAGGGGTTTGACCCTCTTCTTCACTGTGGAACATATATAATAAGAGCTTTGAAACATATTAAAATCTTTCCATAAAGAAACTTGAGTTGTAGAGAGCAATTATTTGTCCATTGTAATTGTATTAAAGACCCTATAATTAGTGCACATTGACACTGGTGCACTAATTGTTTACAGCTGTGGCTGTTCAAGTTGTAGCCGGTAATGAATTTTGAGTGGCCAAATGCCTTTGGGATAAAGCAGGGAAGACACCATTTCCCGTGTCTCTGGGTGCTGTAAAGCATTAGGCACTGATTTTTTGAAAAAACCAATGCATGTTGCTCCCTGCCCCCTCTACAAACTTGATAATTTTTCACAATTGTATACAAGGGAACTTGTTTACAGTGGAGGCTTAGGATGACCCAGAATGCATTGCTTTTCTCCTGCTTCCAGACTCCACAGAAGCACCCACACCTTCATGCAACTGGATCCGTGTTGCTAAAACTGGAACATGAGCAACAGGCTATAAAGTTTTCAGAAAATTCTTTTTGGCAGCAGCTCCCATTAACCAGCAAGCTGCAATTCATGACTTACCATAAATAAAGAGTCCCACATTAAGAGCATAGATTAGTTAATTTTACTATTTCTTTCTCCCATCATTTGGCACAAGTCAAAGGCATGTAAGAAAACTAGGTGAACTCAATTACTTAGTAGAAAAATATACTTTTCCTTGTCCTTCAGGAGCCCACTAGCATTCTACCTTTTTATATACCTTGCACTAACATTCTGAACAGAGAAATATTAAACAATAAAAACCCAATGTATTGTTTACAAATATTACATAAAAACAGAATTGGAATTGACAAAAGTTATTGTGCTGTTCAAGTGATAATTCAACCCCTCTTAAAAATAAAAATAAAGAATGGAATGTTTACCAAAATGATGCTCCATTACTAAAAGTGCCCCCATCTATCAATCTGGAAGTGTCTTTTCAAGTAAGGTCAACTAAGCAGCTCTTCCAAGACCCGGTGGATACAGATGTACTCTCTAGCTAGACTCATTGCATTTAGTGGAATCGTATTATTGTGCCATGCATATTTGCTATTTTAAATTAAATAGGGTAAGGTTGTAGTCTCAATACAAGTATTTGAGAATGTGTTCACTAATGTGGGCTGCTACATAAAATAAAATGATTTAAAATCCAAGTCTCAACTGCTAGTCCTGCTCTCCATAAGAAGATGTACCCTGTGTTTATAAAACAGTGACTATAACCTCCCTCACTTCCCACTACCCATATATGGCCCATGTTTCAATAAAATAAATGAGAACCAAAGGATCTGTGCAATCTTGCCCTTTGTGTCAAACTATGCTGCCGGTGTGTGTAATTCCTTTCAACAATTGGTGTAAACTAGTAGTGCAAAAATGGAAAGAAACCACTGTCTTTTCAAACTATAATTATGTAGGCCTTGGAAGTCCCATAGGTATTATGTTCCAAACTTACACCCATTACAGTTATATCTGATTTCAAGACTTCAAGTACAGACTAATGTGTCTCATAGTTTTTGATATCTCCATATACATCTCAGTTGTGTGTGTGTGTGTTTAAAATGGATCACACCTGTTGGGTTTTGTGGATCCAACTGCAAATAAACAGCCCTTCTGTCTCCAACTGCAAAACTGTTGGTTGAGGGAGGAGAGGTTCCTCTTCCTGCCGGTCTTCACATTGCAGTTTTGAATGCCTTGATTCTAAGGATTCTTTGATTCTTGAAGGGAGTGGAACTGACGCCAATTGGTGCTGCTGCTGCTGCTGCTGTGTTTTTGGTTACAAACTTGCTTCCTTGCCAGTGTTTTTCGAAAGCATCAATCATCAGAACAGCCTTCCAGTGAAGAAACAGGGGGATCTCTGGATAAATTGTGGATGTCATCTGCATCTGAAAGGGCCACATTAACCGTGTGTCTCCGATGCATTAGTTTACTTCTAAGAGGCGCTGCTGCCACATCAGACTCGACTTCATCCAGTGTGGGCTCCCCTCTGCTGCCGGAGTCAAGGATCTGCATCCTGCTTTGTTTTAAAGGATCCACGGGCTTTAGCTTGCTCTTATCAAAGCTCTTAATAGCTAACTTGAGGATCAAAACAAAAAAGAGCCCGTTAAGATGTTTTATTTTTATCTGGCTGATAAATCTAAAGCAAATACCATTAAAAGTTTCTCCTACTAATCAGCTGCTACCCTCCTGTAACTTCAGCCCAGTGGGTCAAGTCTGGCTTTCTGGGGCAGCAAAAAACAACTCTTTGCCTTCCTCTTTGTGAAAGCCTTTCAGGGATTTAAAGAGTGCTATCGTGCCTACCCCACCCCCGCCTCCAATATCTTTAACCAATATCTTAATTTATTTTCTCATCCCTGACCATCCTAATTGTCTTTTTCTGAACCAATTCATCTACTGGACCTCTCCACTAGATAACTAAAAATATAGGGGAGAATGAATGGATCACTCAAGTAAGAGGCACTCCATGTTGAGGAAGGGGCTATGGCTGGCACACCTTAATTATGTCCTGCCCTTCCTCCCAAGGAGGTCACAGTGGGAGACATCGGGATTCTCCCATTTTTATCTTCATAACATGCCAGGTGAGTGTGTGTGACTGTTGAGTAAGCTTACAACTAACTCCATAGCAAGTTGGGGTCTGAAATCAGGTCTCCCCAGCCATAGACTCGCGTCTATTATGCTGCATATCCAGCACATTTGTAGAACTAACACCCCAAGAATCTCAGCCACCACTTATTTCAGTTTGCAATTTTTGTAAACCACTTTGAGGGGTTTTTCTACAACCAAGTGGTATATACGTTTTATGAAATAAAAAAGTAAAAAAGCAAGCCCTTCATTTCAAACCTGTCTTCCTACCTGGTGCAGTAATTCATCATTAAAGTTAGGGACACTTTTATCTCTCGTTATAGTTTTCCGCAAGTCTTTTGACCTAAAGACACAAACAAACAAGGTTAAAGGAAACTTTGTTATATTTCAGTACAAGTCGCTCAGTACTGCAATGTATCTCTGCCAGCCACCAGGTGGTGGTATTTCAGTAACAAAACCTGCTCCGTTGCCTTTGCTGAAAATTCTTAATATTTGACCTTCCTAGGGTATAAATGTCGTGAGTTGTCCTTTGGAGTCTAAGCATACAAAGGTCAGAAGACAAGTCATTTAAATTTACCCTTAGGAGCATCAGCTACTTTCCCAACAGTCTAAATTAGGGACAGCCAGCTTGCGTATTGGATTCTTTATTCCCCAGCCACTAATTGAGACGTCACAGAGTGTTGTACAACCTGACCTCTTTACTCAGGCTCTTTAAACGAAGTCAGCCCTACCTAAGCAGTGAAGGTGTCACTGTGACACACTTGGACATGGCTGGGACATCGTGAGTTGGATTCAAAAGTGCCCTTCCATTAGGGGTCCAACAGACGCTCCTTCGAACTGATGTGGAGGGAGGCAATTTTGGCAGTTTCCCTACATGCTCCATCTTTTCAGAGGGATGGTGAATTTTTTCTAAATAGAAATGGAGGAGTGGCAGAGAGAAATCAGCAAAAATCACTCTTTGATCCATTTACAGGGGCCTCCACAGGATCAAAGCTCCCCATGTTCGCAGAATGTCAACTTCCCGTGGGGCACCTTTGGATGTGGCCCTATTTATTGAAAAACATTTCTGTCTCCCTTTCTATATTTTAAGATTCACTAACCAGGTGGCATATGCAAAGGCTGGAACCAAAAGAGAAGCACATGGGCTTTTCAGCCATCCTCTCTGCTGCAGCTCCCTGTGCCGTCTCTGAAAGTTGCCCCAAGTAGTAGAGACCTGACCGAGCTGCATTCTGTTAAGTGCCAAATGGTGTGTCAGAAGGGGAAACTATGGTTGCCAACATTAGAATAAGCCAATGTAATTGAATCAACTTCAAATCCTGGTTTGTTCTGATGCTAGTAATAATAATATAATAATTTCTTATTTATACCCCGCCCATCTGGCTGGGTTTCCCCAGCCACTCTGGGTGGCTTCCAACAAAACACTAAAATACAATATCCTATTAAACATTAAAAGCTTCCCTAAACAGGGCTGCCTTCAGATGTCTTCTAAAAGTTTGGTAGTTATTTTTCTTTCGACATCTGGTGAGAGGGCATTCCACAGGGCGGTAACCATAGTAACCATAGTTTTTTTCAGTTTGGACAAAAGATGAAACAATAGTTAATTGAAGACCTCCTGGTGTGTTGGCTCATACTATGGAAGGGCTAAACAAAAGGGCAAAAAGCTTGTCCCAGCTCCTGCTCAAATGAAGACCTCAAACTCAGGTTACGGTTTCTATCAAAATATGGAATGTTTAGATTGGCACGACATAGGCAAGCCCTGTTCAAATGCACAGCAGGTGCTACATGTGTCTGCACAAGCAAAGGCACTGATCCACCAATGACACTCCCCCTGCAACCCCGTTATAAAGGAAAGCGGGGAAAGTGGTGGGCACAGCAAGCCCAGTGAGCTTCACGGCCGTCAAGTGGGGATTTGAACCCTGGTCTCCCAGATCCTAGTTTGACACTAACCACCACATCAGATTGGCTTGGAAGACATCCTGCAGCTCCAGCCCAACTGAAGACTGCATGCTGTGTTATCTGATGCTTTGGCAGTACCGGCAGGCAGCACTCGGAAGACAGTTTCTGAAGCTTACTTGTTAAAGCGGTTGATTGACTGGACCAGCTGAAGGCGCCGGGCGACGAGATCGTCCGCTATCTCGGGAGACTTAAAACTGACTGCAGGTTTAAGTAACGAAAACCATTAAATTGGCATACTTCTTTAGCAAGAACATGAAAATTGCCCCAAACCCAGAAACTGGTTTTGTCCAACATGGCACCCTGTCTAGCATATGCTGCACTCCATACATTCACATGGCCATCTGCAAAACATACAGGCTGAGCAGAGGGCCATGAAGCAACCCATGTGGCCCCCGCATCACCACCCAGCCCACTCCCAAGCCTTTCAAAAATCCCTTCTTATGGCGAGGTCTCCTAGAATAAACTTCATGAGGATCAACTCCTTAGCGGTGGCTGCAGAAAACGACAGGTGCAAAAATAT